GCTTAAGAGGGCATTATAAGAATAGTACATTACATTTCATTTAGCTGACATTTTATCCATTTTGACCAATGCTTGTCGGCTGCGGCTCAGCTAGCTTCCTGCTGCATTAGTTAGCACGCCAAGTCAAATATAATGGCTCAATAGCCGCTTTCACACCAAGTAATTTGCCTTACTTAGTTCCCAGCACTTAGTTCCCAGCACTTAGTTCATAGCACTTAGTACCCCCATGGAACTAAGAGCCGATCACGTTCACACAGGAATAAATCTGTGAGGGAGGATTAGGCAAATTAAACCAATGACGTCACTTCTTCTTCTTCTGCTTTGGGTTTACTGGCAGGCCGCAAACAACTTCACGGCGTATAGAGTGGCGAAGTCACGCCCATCTACTTCCGGTCCATGGGACCTTATTTCGGAAAAATTATGTATTGAAGTCAATGTTCTTTCGCTTCCCGTCTGATGAAAGGACCAGGAGTGGCTGGATCAAGTTAGCTACCTAGCTAGTAGCAAGCACGTTAGTTAGCATTACAGTCTTAGCCTCGTCATTTTTATTAGCCTTAACATAAAGTAACATCAAGCCAACCCAAAATGTCAAACAGTAAGAGTAGTAGTCATATTTCGTGAACCATTTGAAGAGTACTGTCACACAGGTGTGATCATTCTGTAATACACCATTTAAGCCTGGGGGATAAATGCTAACGCTAACGCTACATTAGCATCTGCTATCTGTTCTACTTCATGCTATCTGAACAAATGGTTGACATTAAACATTAAAAAGATCAGGCAGTTCAGAGAGAATCAAAGGCAGGCAGGCAGCTTTGCATGACATTCTTCTGGACGTGTTTCATTGTGGTGATAGTGAGGGTAGTCAATCACTTTTTTGACAAGACAGTAGTGACGGCCATCTTGGTGACGTGTGTTGTTGTGAGAGTCTGCGAGACCAGAGATGTAGTTCATTGAGCGTTTCACACAAAAACATGTGTTACTTTACAGTTTTACGACCCTTTTATTTTTTGACTTGCAAAATTATCTTTTAAATTGACAAACATCATATGTGTAATTCGTGGCACAATTCAAACGGGATCGAAAGATAATCTTTCTCTCTCCATTGACTTCAATACATATTTTTTCCGAAATAAGGTCCCATGGAGGTCCACCAGAAGGGGAGGGACTTCGCCACTCTATACTGCCACCCGAAGTCCCCGGCCGGAAGTCCCCGGAGTTGGGGCCTTCAGAGTAAATCACCAGAACGCCGACACCTCCTCATCTCCACCGCTCCCATGTTTTTTTGTTGTGTTGCCATAAGTTAGTCTCTCTCCGTTGGTGCGCGGGGCTAATGATAATAATGCTACAAATACAATGGCGGCTTCACAAAACTTTTCCGAGTTTTACGGGGCGTGGTTGGCAATTCACCCAGCCAATCAGAAATTGGAACTTTTTTCTCCCCAGGAAAATACCACCTCTCTAGCAGGCACTACAAATGGGATAACAGTTCTCATGAACGCAAAATCTCAGGAACTATCGGAACTAAACGGGAAAAGTACTCCGGTGTGAAAGCGCCTAATGCTCTGTTAGAGACATGGAGAGCTCCAGCTACTTTCAATGTCCATACAGAGACAACACCTCTCATTCCTCCAAGAGATGTGTGTTACAGGAACATGTATTGGTATTGAGTGAGAAAGGTGAAATCATACAGTATGTGCAATGGCAAGAAAAAGTGAATCTGAAAGTAATCTGCATTAATTAATCAAAATGTTATCTTATCCTAATTAAAGTCACATAGACAAAGACAATGTGTTTAAGCTAATGACACAACTTTATTAAACACACCAACACACATTCGCAGTGCTGGTGAAAACGTATTCAATTAATTATTAAAGTTTGAGATCATTGTTAGGTATTATAATTTACATTAAAAGCATAAATACAAACCACAACTTTTATTTTATGTCAATCTTATTACCGTAATAACATCTTTCTGTAAGTGATATTCTCATCTTCATATATTATATTTATACTGTATATTTGATCTCAAAAGTGATGTCCTTGTTATAGTTAAGGATACAATTCTCATTGTTTGTTTAACAAATTCTCAAAAAACTGGGAGAAAATTAGATTTTAAAGACACTTTTTACAGTTTTTACTATTATTATTCAGTTAAACAAACGGTAATCAGCAGCCGATCCACTCTCTATTGCCAAAACGTTTCTATGTGGCCAACATTTACTGTATTTACTGAAATCTCATTTACTGTAAACACACTTGGGTGTCTTCCTGCAGCAGGAAGCACAAACACTTTGGGACTTGTGGGGGGGATTATATCCTGGGGACATCTGCTCCTCTTAAACATTGGTTAAAAAGGAAAGTGGAAATGTTTAGCCTTCCAATTCAAAAACAGTAAAAGGGCAAAAGGTAATGTATTGAACTATTACAGAGAAATATAAGAGTAGACCAGTCGATATGCGACCAATCAGCAGTCACGGTCAATGTGTTTGGACATTTACTTGTTTATTTACTTGGTGATTTGCTGCATTTGTCCCTCTCTTTCCTCGTAAACACAGCATTATGTTTGGGGCTGTGTTATCTGCATCCTGTTTTCTCAAACTTCCCCTCAGTGATCATGGCAGTTTAAAGTTTCCTGTCATCTAATCTGATCTATAGCGTTGGTATGTAGAATATGATACGTACACAGGTGAGACCCGGCTCCTTTTCCACCAATGCACTTTTATCATCTCCACTGGCATTTCTTCACATTTTTGTGGGGTTTCAAGAACTCGATGGCAAGTGACTGCAAACCTCCATTCCACAGAAGAGACACTATACGAGAAACCCCGATGTCAAACACAACACCTGATAGCAGCGGATAGGTTTCTCGCTGCATACCTCCTCCAGGTGTACGCCTGCTTTAGGCTTGCTTTTTTGGGTGGGGGCTGCCGAGTGGTGCGTTCAGGATATGAGGAGGCCCTATAGATAACCTCAGACTGCCCTCGAGAGGATCATAATGTCAAGAGAAAATATGGAAAGTAACACCTCAACACCTCGCTCTCCTGATCAGACTTGATTTTGGAAATTATGAAGAGTGTTCTGAGCTCGCTGAAAGAAAGGTTGGAGTTCACACATGCCTGCGTGTAAAGTGTAGAAACACTCGAAAAACTGGTGTTCAATTCTTTAATAAAAAAACTGTCACTTGCACACTTGTATTTATTGTAAGGTATCCTATGTTTATATACATTTTTAGTAAGCAGTGGTAGGACATTTCTCTATTACAGTGTATTCTAACTTATTCTGTATATTTGATATTGTTCATTCTATAGATACGATCTATCTATCTAATATATCTAATGGAATTTATTCTCATCTAATCCAATCTACTCTAAAATAATGAAGTATAATCTAATCTATCCTCAAGTATAATCAAATGCAATCTAATCTATTCTAATCAAATGTAATCTAAAATAATCTATAACTTTACTCATTCTGTATAAAATGGAGTAGTTCTAATTAGATGTGAAAATACCCTTCGTTATAAATTAATAAAAGTTTAATTAAAAAAATAATGCTTCAAACCAGTGAACGTGTATAGATAAAAAATGAATACACCTGATGTGAAAATAACCAATCGGTTTCTTACTTAAATTGATAATTTCTCCGTGCCTCTTAAAATATGGCTAATAAAGAAGTTAGCAGTGTTTTAAGCCAAACATACTTTTCTGTCCTGCACAATCTCAGGCAGTCAAATGAAAGAAACAACTCATCTGTACACGGCAGCATCACAAACATGCTGCACATAAAGCGGGAACAATGAAATCTGTGTTTTCAAAGCCTGCCGAGGAACGCGAGGGTCTGAATCGTTTAAAGACGATTGTTTTCTGGGCCTGTCAGAAGACCAGCATAACATTTCTATCACGTCCGTGACCCTCCAGGTCTAAATATACAGCTGAGATTTACATCCAGAGGGAATGAAATACTGTACATCTTATAGGAGTGTTTTGTTCTTTCCCTGTCGAATGGAAGATGAACTACGAGTCACGTTAAAGGTCAACGACAAACATGATTTATTTGACAAAGAACAGAAACGAGACCATGTACACAAAACTCTCCACAGTTTCACATTTTGCATAAAATAAAATACACCAAAAACCCACCAAACGTAAATTTGGTCAATGAGTTTATATGGCCTAAGATTTGACACAATCCTTATTTAAATAGAATTGTTTTCCCTCAAATGTTCTTCTCATTTGTTTCCTAGGAGGTCAGCAGCAGTTGCTCAAGACAATGTGAATCACGCGAATGCAAAGAGACAAATCTGTCACACAAAGGAGTGTTTGTACGATTAGTCGCAGTCTGCCGTGGAGTCACGAGGGCGCTCTGTGACACAGCGCAGACACAACACAGACATCATGGGAAAGCACAGCAACATCTCGCTGCAATGCACACTCTAATAAGTCGGAAGATAATTATGTCTTGTTCGATCTTTTTTCCAACATTAGCTAACAAGAAACAAGTCTAAAAAGTTGATTGCATGGTTCATCAAACTTATATCCCAAAATCTAGTGGAAAACAACAACAAGGCTTTTGTTACGGGAATATGTTGGATTTCAAATAGAATTGGAAGTAGGAGCTAAGTATTGTTTTTGTAAGTTTTTGTGTTTCTCATATTGTCCTACGATACTGTTATGATTGGCTGTGAACAAGAAAATATGAAGGACAGACCATCTATTTCTATTTTTGGTAGGTATAATATTATTTTCTTCTCCCTGCTCCTTTCCGGGTATGGTGTGTTTATAGAGACATATAATTGTTATACATTAAGTTGTGCATACCATGAACAGAAGTGAATTGGACTTCCAGAATGTTGCACAAGTAAGAAAATGATTACGCTTACTTAATGAATGAAGGTTAGGGTTATTGTTGAGTTGAGGCGTGATTTTACTACGAGTTTCAAGGAAGCTTGTTCCTGTGCAAAATATGTGAATTCATCAATCAAAGGAAACCTGACTCACCTCAGCTCCAGAGTACTTGCCGGTCCGGGTCACCAGGTCTTCAATTGACACATTTTGGGCTACAGGCATGTTGCGGAACTGGAGTGAAAATATTTCCTGTCGGGTCGGAGCATCTGGAAGAGGAACGTAGATGATTCGGTCAAGGCGACCTGGACGCATCAGAGCCTGTGGGACAGAAAAAAAGACTCTTAAGCATCTAAGCCTTCATCACATATTTTACAAATGGTCCCACACATCAAGTTAAGAAATACAAAACCAAGCATTATTGAAATCTTCTTTGGCTCACCCCGGGTAGCACATGTTAAATTCTTCTTTTTTTTACTTTGTTCATTGGGTTTTTTCAACAGCATACAGTTATTCTATCAGAGCATGTATCAAAAGTAAGTAAACAAATCTTCACTTTATAGCAAAATAGGTAGAGTAACAATGTACATAATGCTTAACACCAGGGCAAACAAAATCCCACACAGACAGAAGACAAACAGACAACAAAAATAAATAAATAGAAAACCAGTCAGCTAAAACAAAAATGGCAATAATAACCAATACATGTCAGTACGGCAGCAAGCACATGTTCAATTCAATTCAGACTTTTTCCAGCACATTTTGCACATGATCACTTCAAGGTCACAGTAGCACTGTCAAGAACTGCGTCTCTGACCTATGACATCCTTACTGCCTGCTTGTTACGGTGGAGATCTAGTAACTGGCTCTACTAATGAATTGATTGAACACCTCTTCAGACAGGACCATACACCATATGCCTAAAATGCAAACTGTGAAAGGCACGTTTTCCACTTCTAGCAGTCAGCGTGGAGACAATGTTTACGTTATCTGATAAACCCTCCACTTCCTACAGATCACATCTCCGTGACCCCAAAACAGTCCTTGAGTACCCAAAGCTGCCGCTGTCTCGCTTGTCAGACGTCATTAAGTGGCAGGCGCCTCTCAAACACAGACAGGCAACAGACAGACAAATAGGCCGTGTCTCCATTTGCTCTCCTCAGCCAGGCTGGGACAAAGTGGTTTGGTGTGGTATTGTTTGGTTTGGGGTGTGTGTCCATTTGACCAGCCAGCAGGCCAAAGAACAGCAGGATAGGAAAATGGCAAAATACATTTGATTGCCGTGAATTAGCATTTCATTTTAGTGCTCGAATGAAGAACCAACAGAAAACAAACATCAACTGGAACTGACAGTTTCATTGTTGAGCTTCCTCCAAGACTCAGTGAGGCCTGGTTGTAAAGACTGTGGAGCCGCTGGCTTGGGGCCAGACAGGCCACAGCGGGGCTAAACCCCGGCCAGCGGAGACGAGGCAGGAGACACACGCAGACGCAAGCCATGCAGGAGGTCACGTCAGGAGCGATCAGTGAAGGTTGGAGGGACCGCACCAGCAGCCTTTGAACTCTTGTATACGTAGACATCACACTGCTATTCATGATTGTCTGAATGCACCTCATCACGCAGGCTGGACTGCCTACTTTCTTCTTCAATATGCTTAGTCTAGTAACATGTATATTCTTATATTGTTTACATAGGACAATCTGCATAGGTTAAGAACTTCAGCAGGTTTGCAGAAACGCAACAAATGCTGAAAAGACAATTTTGCCTATTTCTTACTCGATTATTAATAAGGTTATTTATCAAGCTACAATTTAAACAAGACAAAATAATGTCAAATATAAGCCATTTAAAGATGTGTACTTCTCTTGGAAATTGTGATGGGTATTATCACTGTTTTTCTAAAATTGTTTAAACTCAATACCTAACCATTTGGTATAAGAAGTAAATGAAAGTTGAACAAATATTTAAAAAGGATACATAAAATGATCCAAAACAGACATAAAGGAAAGATTGTTTTTACCTATTTAACTATCTTTTAACCTCAAGTTTAAAGAAAACATAGACAGAATGTGAATCGAGAAAAACGGGAATTTGCAAATCCACAATTCCATTATTTGGGAAAAACTCTAAAATATTTGATATATAGTATTAGAGCACCAGAATAGCTAATAAGGTTAATTATCGGGGAGTAAGACATATATGGCAACAACGAGCCACACCTTTTTTAAACTTCTTGCCTTAGATATTGTGATGGGTATTCTCACATGTTATAGAAAGGTCTTAAAAAGTAACTGAAAGTTGGAAAACACACACAAAAAAGACAAATAAATGATCACAATTGACCTACATGTATGATTTTCTTTTTCCAAGTCAAGAATTAACTTAAAAAAAAAATTGAAAATCACATTAAGACCTTCAAAATCATCTGATATAATCAAAAGCTCAAAAATAGGGAGTGCAAGGAACGTTTCTGTCAGCTGCTGCTTCAACCGTTGACAATCAACCACAATGCTATGTAAACACATTGTGAGTTGCATCCCCTTTACAGAAACCATGCACTGGTCTTTACCATATTAAAATCCATCTGCTTGCAAAGTGCACCAGATGTACATTTAAGAGTTTTGTTTTATGGTTTATTTGTTTCCCCTCTGGATAACCAATTCCCGTTCACTGGGGCGATGGACAGCTTTCCTGCCTTTTATCTGCTGCTTTCTTGTGTTCCTGTGTATGTCTATGGAACACGAGAGGATGGAAACTGGAGACAAACATTAGTAGCTACCCTTAGGTAACCACAACAGAGTCTTGGCTGACAAAGGAGCAATGGATCATGGGAGGAAATGTTCTTGTTTTTCAGGTCTCTGGATTCTTCCATTCGTTTGAGTAGAGGCTCTGGCTGTGGGTGACGAACCATCGGCGTAAAACGTATGGAGAGGTATAACGTCACCGTAATTTGAAGCAGGGAAAGGATGGCTGCTGGGGAGACCTGCTGTGATATTGATGGATAGCAGGTCCAAGGGCATTACATTAAATTCAGAAGGGCTTGAGACCTGGGGAACTTGATAAGATGTGTCTGGCAAAACAACTATAAAACAACACATGTGAGAGTTATTTTGATGTCAAGGTTCTTCTCACAGGTTAGAGGGTTCTGTGTGTGTGTGTGTGTGTGTGTGTGTGTGTGTGTGTGTGTGTGTGTGTGTGTGGTGTGTGTGTGTGTGTGTACGTGTGTGTGTGTGTGTGTGTGTGTGTGTGGGTGCATGTGCGTGTGCGTGCAGTGGGGATTGCAGTCCTTGGTTGTTTGTGACAGCAGGTAGAGCCAGTCTGCACTATGCAGAGGACGTGCCAGGGACACTTCCTGAGTTGCTCTCTGTGGAAGAGTCTCGTGGCTGCATGCCAACACAAACCTGCTGACCTTCAGCTAACAAAAAAGTACTCAGAATCAGAATTGAGTTTGATGCAAAGTATGTTTAAACATACAAGGGATTTGCATTGCACTGACCTATGAAAATGAGTATGGGTTAGGGTTAGGGTTAGTTGTGGCGTGATTTCACTTTGAGTTTCAAGGAATCTTTTGTTTGTTCCAGTGCAAAAGTACAGATCAGACCGGGGTCTTTATCAGCCAACACAAACCTGCTGACCTCCAGCTTGAAAAAAACCCTCAAACGGACAGATACTCCCTTGCACACCAACAAACACATGCATATAGAGTGCGCTTGAATAAACAATTCTGGTACATTTTTCTGTAAAGAGGCCGACCGGCTACTTCATCAGCAGTTCATTCTCCCTGCACACATAATGGAGAAGTGCCCGTGGCTTCCAGGCGCTCGGGCTCCAAGGGTTCCAAGGCGCTCCCAAAAAGCATGAGCCGACCCTCAGCTTTGAGACTGCTAAACTCATCTGACTGCCCTGGAGGGAAAGAAAGCTTTTTATTTTTTTTCTTCTTTCCTCTCAGCAAGAGCAGGGGGCCCATCCATCACTTAACAAGATACACTTCCTGTTCTCAAGGATCTGGGGGTGGGGGTAGGAGGAGGAGAAGGAGGGAAGGAGAGTGAAGAGAAGGAGGAGGTAAAGGGGGGGGGGACCCCGAGAGACAAATACTTGGCTTGGCATGTCGGGCAAGCGTTGACGGGCTCCTTTCGTAACGGCATCATTCCACCTGAAGTCTTGGCTCAACTGGCGGAGAGCAAAATAAGTGAAATAGAAAAGAGAGGGGACAAAAACAGTGATACCAAAAGACCCAGACAACCCACTTAAAAGGACTGCAGGAACCGGAACCCTACAAACAAACACAGATAAGTGGCCTGAGACACAGAAGAACCACCATCAACAAAAAGCAGTTGGGAAAATTATCCGTTTTCCTTACACGAGTCTGCATGACAGATCACATCCTCCTTGTTGCACCACTGACATGATAAGCATCATTACACATGAGCCATTAGTAATTAGACAATGCCCCTAGGTAAAACATACCAACTAGCTTTAAGTCAACATTGAAGCTTTTATACACTACTAAATCTGGGCGCTGTGGACGGACAAGCAGTGGTGAGAAAGTTGTGAAAAACAAGTGAGGCCTAGGCTGCAGTCAGGCTGATCAAAACACACAGAGAGAGAAGCGAAGAAACAAAACCTCATCCGCTCTCTCTGCGGCAAGTTTCACTGCCGATAACAACAGTAATCATTCCAGGCATTGCAAGCCTCTTCAAGAAGTGATTACCCCCTAATGACAGATGACTTCCTATCTGCGAAGGCCAGTACCTCTCCCTAAGCAGTGAGGAATGCTGGGAATCTTCTCCTCGGAGCGCTGTTGCCGAGCACATTCTTGGCCAACTTCAATCTGACCTGCTCTAAGCTACGCCTACCGACTGTTTACAAACGGACGCCCCCGCAATTCAAGGTGTCTTATTCTTAGATGGAGGCTTAGACACGGTGCGGCCGAATCAAGATCAGATTCTTACTCACACTACTTTCAGATCAAATGAAAGGAAACACTGGGTCCATGAGACTGAACATGACTAAGTTCTTCCCTGCACATCTGGTGGAGTCTCTCTTTTCTTTAAAAACAATTTTTGTTGGTGATTTTTCCAACGTGCAGCATGATATCAGGCTGTCTGGCTGAATAAGTGGCTTGCCTGAGGAGACATGCGTTGACTTTGTTCCCTGCCTGAAGGCATTTGCTGTATGTGGTTTCCTAACCTGTCAGTCTGCAATCCTCCGCCTCTGTGAGTCATTCTGACTCTGAGATGGGCCACCCTGGATTTATGCAGAACACACAGCCAACACAAAATGTGGAGGGCATGATGGGAAGCAAACTCTCACAGAAAGG